TTTTAGGGAGATTCGTTCAAGGTGGGTTTTTTTCTCTCATGGAGGCTGGAGAGATGGGATTCCAGCGCCCCCCCTCCAGCCCCCCCCTGCTCGGGAGAGCGGCTCCGTGGGGACCCCAGGATCTGTCAGGCAGGCCAAGCGTCTCTGGGCCCTCCCGGCGGAGGAGCTGCGGCCCCGGAAGAAGGCAACCAAATGGGTGGGTTTGGGGGAGGCGCTGTTTGTGAGCCTTTGCTTTAAATCCTGAGTTGTGCCTTTAGGTGACTTTCTTTGTAGCCACCCAGAGCAGGGGCTACAAGTCCAATAAACAAACAAACAAAGAAAATATAAATAAAGCGGAAAAAAACACCTTTCCCTGTCTTGGGCACCATGTGAGCAGCCGTGCATGGGAGGACGTTTGGTCAGGCCCCTGGAAGGCCGAGGCGGAGGGCGCCGGCCAGTCGGCGGCTCCTTTTTTGAGTTGAGATTCAAGATCCTGGCGCCCAGGCCCCCCCTCCTCCCCACCTTCACAGCTGGTCGCTCACCGAGGGCTGGGCTGCCAGGGGAGCAAAGGGTGGCCCTCGAGATGTCGTCGGACCGCACCTCCCAGCATTCCTCCCCTTTGCCCGGGCTGGCTGGGGCCGATGGGAGTTGTAGTCCCGCCACATCTGGAGGGCCGTCCTTGCCTCCTTGGGCCGTAAAGGGGGGGGGCTGTCCCAGACTTCAGGCTCATGGCTCCATGGTGTCCCTTGTCTGGTGCACCACCAACGCCACGGAGAGTGGCGAGGTCAGGCATTTGCCCAGGCCAGGGTCTGGGGATCATGGACTGCTGAACCTTCTTGGAGTGGCAAGTGGTTCGCGGGGTTCCCAGCCGCTCTCTCTTCTTCCCAGAACTGCCACGATCCCTCTTCTTGCCTCCCACTGGGAACGCAGGTGACGCCTCGGGCTAGGAATCCCCCGAATCTTGAGGGGTCCCTGAAGTTTGCGCCACATTGTTTGGGGTGACCAAGGAGTGCCAGCATCGTGGGTGGCCCTCGAGAGTCAGGGGCCTCCCCGCCCCCCTTCCAGGCCTGCCTTTGGAGGCACCGCCGAGAGGAGAGGAGAGGACTGCCCAGGCTCGGCAGCCACTCCTTCTCGGCCTCAGCCGGCGGCTGCCTCTCTGCCTGCCCGCCCAGCCGCCTGCTTCTGGGCGAGGAGAGCGCTGGGCACCTCCTGCTGCTGCTGCTGCTGCTGCTCTTCCTGCAGTTGGACAGGTGAAGGCAGGACCTCCTTCCTCCCTCTGCTCTCTAGAGAAGGAGCTGCCACCGCCTCCGGCAAGGGGGACGTGCCAGGACGGACGGACGGACGGAGCACCTGCTGAGACTCCAGGCGTCCCAAGAAGGAGAAAGGACAGGTTCTCAAAGTTACCTATTAGACACCCTGGAAGAGCAGTTTATCATTAACCGGGAGGATCTGCCAGAGGATATAAGAAAGGGTGCAGGTGCAGCTGCAGCAGCAGCAACGTAGGAGACCACGACACGGGCAGGATGGCGGCGACTCCGGGACCAGCCACAACGTGGAACAGCAGCACGTCTGCCCCCTCCTCGGCCAGCTCCAAGATTGCCATCGACAACCCGGCTGACATTGTGGTCATTGTCATCTACTTCTTGGTCGTCCTGGCGGTCGGCCTGTGGGTAAGTCTGGCTGAGGCTCCGTTGGTGCCATCACCCCTGGGGGGGGGACAGGGAGCGCTGGGGAGAAGCCCCGGTTGGGGAGGAAAGTGCCCAGGCTCCCAAAGCCACCAGCCAGCCTGTCGAGCGGCCGGGGCTTCTGGAGGCAGCCAGGAGCTCCCCTGTCCCAGGACTTCTCTGCAGGGGGGGGGGCAGAGGAGCCCAGGAAAAGGGCTCCCTTTGGGAAAACGGGTGGGGAACGTTAAAGAAGGCACTTTGGGGAGTCTTAGGAAATTCACGTTCTGGGCAAACATTCCCAGAATCTCCCTGGCAGCAGGGGAGCTGTCGTCCCCCCAAAATAACTTTGCCAGGACGTGGTCTTAGATCACAGATGCCAAGGAAGTGAGGCGGCCGTTGTGGTTCGGTGGCTTCTTTGGGAAATGTGATGTGGAAAGTTCGCGATGCCCCAAGGGCTCGGAGAAGTGGCTTTGATTTCACCCACCATCACCAGACACACACACACACCCTGCCGGCCCTGGCTGGCAGCCCGAAGCTCTCCCTTGCGCCTGAGTAGCACTGATTCGGTGGGCTTTGCCAAAATGCCAGCCAGGGCTGGAAGGGAGGCTGGTGGGAAGAGGGGCACGCTAGGCTTTGGGAAGGAAGCAGCCACGGCCACAGGAAGCGGCCGCAGGGAGAGCGGGTTTGAGGAGGGAAATGGAGAAGAGGAGGATGCCATTCCTGGGGGGGGGGAACGACAGATGAAGCGACGGATGGGGGGAGCTGCCTTTTTTTGGACAATGGTGCTTTGGGATGCTGCGCCCTGCCCATCATGGTGGCCATGTGGGGTCACAGAGGCATGGAGCCTGCAGACCGGCCTGCATCGATGTGGGCTCTCCGTTGCAAGGTCTCGGGAGGGACCAAGCAGCATCCTTCCGGGAGATAATCATCCAGGGTGCCCCTGGCGTGCTCAGGGGCAGAGCGAAGGCTGCCTCTAGTGGGGGTGACCAGCGAGAGTCAGAAGGCAGGCAAGGGTCAGGTAGAAGAGCTTGAAGAAGTGAGCTCCTAGAGCACAGCCCTCCCAACCGGGGGATTCTGGGAATTGTAGTCCCACAGCAACCTCTGCAAACGCTCTGCCTGGCACACAGAGGAAGTGGGAAAGGAGGCATTTCTGCACGTTCTGTTGATCTCCTGAGAGAACCGGGAGCCTTGCCTGGCTTGGCTTTTCCTGGGGCAAAGCACTCCCGGGCCTGGCGGGAGCACCTCGGGCACAGAAGGTGGGGCTGGCCAGCCTCCGCTCTGGCAGGAGGGGGCCTGGTCGGAAGACCCTCCCTGCCTGGGGCTTCCCCAAGGCCAAATGAGTGCCAATTGAAGCCACCCGGGAACGTAGGAAAGTCAGGAAATAACGGGCAGGCCCATGTTGCTGCTGTGTCTCATCAAGTCACTTTTTGGGGGGGGGGTCCACTAGCAGGATTTTTGAGGTCTGTGAGAGGTCTGAGCCGAGGGTTTTCATTACTTCCCACTAGTCAGCTTCCTGAGCCAAGTGGGGATTTGAACCCAGGACTCTCCCGAGTCCTGCTCCGATGCTTTATCCCTGCACCGCACTGTCTCTGTAATCACTGTAGAAAGGAGGCAGGATCAAGGGAAAACCCAGCAGCGGGGCTTCGGAGCTTTAAAAAAAAAGCTTGGAGAAAGCTGGAAGGTGAGACTCTACCGACCTGCTTGATTTAATCAGATTTTTAAAAGGGTCCTGCAGCCGGGAAGCATATCCACACACCCCTCCACACACACCCACACACACAACACCCCTTCATCCAGCTGGGCCTCCTGTCCTGCTGAGCCGGCCAGAGGCCAAGACAGAGGGTCGATTTAAGGGGCCCGCTCGGGACAGCGGAGGCGCCTCGCCCGCCCGTGGGGAAAGATCGGCACCTTGAGTCGGAAAATCCACAAGCATCCCTGTTCCTTCCCAATCCGGTTGCTTACACCCACCAGCCAAAGCCAACTGGTGTAAAATCCAGGGCCAAATGGCTGTTCACACTAATTAAGAAAGCCGGTGGTCTTGATTTCCTGTCACCCTGCCCTGGTACGACTTGGCACCCGGCAAGGAATGTGGGTGCTGCCTTCTCCAATGGTGGGAGTTGGCCCCAGAAGTGGTGCTGAGGAGCAGGGGCCATGAAAGACTGAAAGACGGAGCCTTTTGGAGGTCGCTCGGTTCGTAGGGGGACCCAAAGGGAGGAGGGGGGACGGACGTCAGGAGGGACCAGCAGCCCATAAACAACAGCCAGACCTTTTGGAGGTTGCTCGGTTCTTAGGGGGACCCAAAGGGAGGGGGGGGGCGGACGTCAGAAGGGACCAGCAGCCCATAAACAACAGCCAGTGCTTCCACTGGTTTCTGGTTGGCCTCCCCTTTCCTGACCTTTCCTGACCCCCCCAAGCAGTTTCCCCGAGAAAGTGACCTCTCTTTCCCTAATGGCAGAGCCGCGCCACACCCCCCCCTTCAAGTTGTCTCTGCAATAACCCCACAGAGCTGGGGGAAGTCATTTTTTGGGCCGGGAACTTCCAGAACCCCTCTCTCCACTCCTTGTGTGAGTCCAGCAAGAGCAACGTCTTGACCCCCAGGAACGGGGCGTCTGTCCTGGGATGGCTTTGTTCTCCTCCAAAGGAGGCACCCGGCTTCTCAGCCACGGGGATCAAGCAGTTTCCCCGAGAAAGAGAGAGTGACCTCTCTTTCCCTAATGGCAGAGCTGTGCCCCCCCCAAGTTGTCACTTTTTGGGCCGGGAACTTCCAGAACCCCTCTCTCCACTCCTTGTGTGAGTCCAGCAAGAGCAACGTCTTGACCCCCAGGAACGGGGCGTCTGTCCTGGGATGGCTTTGTTCTCCTCCAAAGGAGGCACCCGGCTTCTCAGCCACGGGGATCGCATTTCATTTCCTGCTTCCAGGCTGGCCTCCTTGTGCCTATAATTTATGGTGGACTTGAGTTGCCTCTTGTTTTGTCCGTCTCCTGGGGAGGGACCAGGGTGTCCAAACCGCAGTTGCATAGAATGGCTTTTCTGCATTTCTGGCGGGCAAGACCCGATTCTTCTCTTCGAGGCCCTGGCAGGCTGGCTTTGAAATGCCATAAATATATTATTTCCTCCGTGCTCTCTGCCAGCTTCACATTAAGCTGTCACAGGGAAAAAAATCTACATTTCTAAGCAGACAAGTCAAAAAAAAAAAAAGAGCACTGTGTGAGAGAACCCAGCTGAGTGGCTCATTTCTGGGTTCACTTTGTGGAGGATTTGGGAAAGGTGTCCCCCCTTTTTTTTTGGACGACAGCCCCCAGAATCCCCCAGGTAGTGGAACTTGCACCCCTACCTGGCACATTTGAGTCTCTTGCTGCCGAGACATCAGGATGCTGATCAACCTGCGCTCTTCCGCCGTAAGTCCCAGGTGGCGTGGACTGGCCTCTCCGGGTGATCCCTCTGGGGCTGGGACCATCCCTCCTCGGCTCAGAGGGCCCTTCGCGTTGGCTTCTTTGCCTTTTTAACTGGTCTTGGTTTAGAAGCAACTCATGACTTTCCAAACCTATTAGATACAGTCAGTCGGTCATGCACTGTGGCTTTTTGTGGTTGGCACTATTTGCATGAGTGTCTTTTTATTTATTTATTTAACGAAGCTTTTGGGGAGTTCCAAAATGCTTTCCCAGCAGAAGCGGGAGCTGAGTGTGTGAAATGCTACTGACGTGGAGGTGTGTGTGTGTGTGTGTGTATGGACTATGCTTCTTTCTCTGTCTCTCCTGCTCAGTCTCTCTGTGATGAGTCGGGGGGGGGGAATCAAGTCCCACACGCCACCATTTTAACTGGGTGCTTAATGGTGGAGGGAACCGGTCTTTTGGAGGGCCATCCCAGGGCAAAGTCAAGTGCCCGAAAGTCAAGGACCTCCTGCCATGCCTCAGACCGGGCACACCCTTGCCAGGAGGACAGAAGGGAGAGGCCAGTGGGGTTGGCTGGGGCTTTCCTGCTGGTTGCCTTTTATTTTTCTAAAACTGCCTTTTCCTTCTATTGCTCAGAGCCAGGAGGAAACAGTGAGGTCACATCTGGCGCTGGCCTAAAACTGCCTGTATGAGGGGAGGCGCAAGAGAGAACCGGTTGGGGAAGAGTGTGTGCTTTGGATGCATCTCAAGTTTTCCCTGCTCACCCACGCCAGGCCTTAAAACCTCCCACTTGTGACTTCTTGACACGGATGCTTCTAAACCCCTGTGTATCCCAGTCAAAAGAAACGACACTAGTTTTTGCAGGGGGGGCGGGTGGGCGAGCGCATGGACCGTATTATCTCTCCCCTCCCTTATGATGCTAGAGTTTAGTTTCCAGACTCAGAACCATGATTCTGATGGGCCTCCTTCAATGTCAGCATCCATGAGATGTCACTGTAAGTATCTGTCCAATAATTATCTTTCATAGAGACATAGCGCTATAACTCCACAATGCTATATTTCATGAGCAAACACACACACACACGCCGGGTCAGGCTTTTTCAAAGCACTTCTGAAAAAGAAAGGATTTTTCTGGGCACGGCCACTGACCCTCTTTTGGAAATGGCAACAGAAAGGAAGGGTTCTGTCTCCCTCATCACTGTAGCTGCTGCATTCCAGAGTTGCAGGGGGTCTGTCGCTGCAATGCTCATAGCGATATAGGAGAGGAAATGTATCCGGATAAGTGCTTGTGCGCTACTTAAAAGTTTGAGTAAAAAGTAACAAATCGGCGGGGGAAAAGAGGGTACCTTCTCACCAAAGGGGACACTGAGCATACGCTGAGGGGATCTGTTGTAGCCAAACAAATCTCCTGGCTGTGAGGTGTCCCGGGCGGTGTTGCGGTCTGGCCTCAGCCGTGAGAGGAGCTTTCCATGAGCCCGATGAGGATGGTTGTCAAGGCGCCTGCCGTTCTTCTTCCGTGCCTGGCATCTGAGAGCTTGATCTGTTTGTTGAAGAGCATCTGAGTGCTTCCTGAATCACCAGCACACCTTAACATATACCGTAAATCTGTGGGTCTGGCTCCTTCCCCGAGGGCAACACCCAACGGTTCTGAATGGTATTGTTTCATGGCACGCCTCAGTTCTGGGATGCTACTGTAATTGCAAAATCCTCTTGCTAGGGAGATTACTCAGTCAGTCAATCAGTCAGCCAGCCAGTCCTACTTTCTTTCTTTCTTTCTTTCTTTCTTTCTTTCTTTCTTTCTTTCTTTCTTTCTTTCTTTCTTTCTTTCTTTCTTTCTTCCTTCCTTCCTTCCTTCCTTCCTTCCTTCCTTCCTTCCTTCC